TCTCTTCCGCTCACACATCCTGTCTACAAGGACAGATTATGATCTGGCGAGGCCCGCAGAGCACCAGCCTCTTTGTAGTTTCTCTTGTCACAAAAATAAAAAAATAAATCTGTTTTCTAAAGTTGCAATTAAAAGAATAAACACACCATGTGCATTATACATTATATAAAAGACAACAATATTATTACTGGTATTTAACATCAAAGCTTCATTAAATGTGTGGTCACATTTACATTTGTTCAGAAAGTTTTTACGGGCAAAATCTAGCCATTTCAATAGGAATCCATGTGATCAGGAGTTCTGCATGATGTTGCTTGGTTTGAAAGTATCTTCTGTGAAAAAGTGAAAGTGACGTCACATGTGGCCAAGTATGGTGACCCATACTCGGAATTAGTGCTCTGCATTTATCCCATCCAAAGTGCACACACACACACACACCGTGAACACACACCCGGCAGTGGGCAGCCATTTTTTTGCTGCAGCGCGTTGGGGGTTCGGTGCCTTGCTCAAGGGCACCTCAGTCGTGGTATTGAAGGTGGGAGAGAGCGCTGTACATTCACTCCCCCCACCTCCAATCCCTGCCGGTACGAGACTCAAACCCGCAACCTTTGGGTTACAAGTCCGACTCTCTAACCATTAGGCCACGACTTCCTCGACTTCTGTGTTGAACTCTACGATGCTTCATACATTGTACATACACAATGGGCCTTTTTTTGTCCTGCACTGTAAGGTTTATAATCTCAAACATTCAAGCACTGTTCAGTATATGTTTTCAGCTTGAGGCTCCTGGTAGTCAGAGGTGGGCCCCAGTAGTCTGGTCTATAATCCTTGCATTTCTAATGGTGTTTGAGGGGGTCTGACCTAAAAGAAGCCTCAGTAGGAGTCATACCAAAAGCACATAAAAAATACGGAAATGTGTGCATGGGAGAAATGTGAACAAGGGCATAATTAAAAATGATTCTGTGTAATGAACGTCATCCACTACAGAATGTTTTAGTGGACTAAAAAGTTCATTTAGGCCTTGTTTACACCTAGTATTAAGATGTGTGTTGAGCTTATCCACTTTCGATAACTTCCAGAGGTAGTCGAAAACGACCAGGTTGCTTTTGTAGTGTAGACGCTCATATCTCATAAAGACCACCTACTGACGTAATTCTTAAACATTACCGGACATGTTGTTAAAGAGGGCTAGCCAGATGGGATTTAAACTTTGTCAGCTGAAATCATAAGTTTGGTTTGAAGGCAAATGCTCTCATACCAGTCCTGATTCAAACACAAACCCACAGCGTTAGGCATAGTTTTGCAGCTATCAGAGCAAAAAACACGGGCTGCTGCTCTCTGTATCATTTTCCGTTGTCTACTTTAGCATTCAGATGTAATTTGTGTGTGCTTATTTTTTGCAAAATTAGATCAAAAGATCAGAAAAAGACCATACATATACCCACCCATATACCATCAAAATAAACCAGACATCAGGCCTAATGCATAAACACTACAAACAGAAAAACGGAATTGGAAGTGTTAGCTTCATTGCAATTAAAAGTAACTAACCACAATCTCATATAAATGCATATAACATGACATTGTACGCAAAGTGTATGCAGAACTGCAAATGGAAAGGCACTTTAGAACAGTTATGTGGGTGTTTAAAATTGCTTCTACTAATCTGCATTGCTATCTTTTCACAGCTCGCATTTGGCTTATTTAAAAGAAAGATAAATGTTCACCTCACTGGAGCCTCAGTGCAGAACCTCCAGCCTGAACACCCACGCCAGTACGAAACACATTATTATTCCACACGACAAAACCTGAGTTACATACATGGAACATTAGTGAATAAGTTACTTAGTATTTACTAAATGGAAATACACTTTTTGTGGCCACGTGATTACTTACAGTGGGTATAGAAAAGAATCACCCCCCTTTAAAAATAATTGTTTTATTGCTTTGCATCCTGAAATGAAGATGGACACTGTTTTTGTTTTATCCAGCTGTATTTACTCAGTGCAACTTATAACATTCAAGTGAAATATATAACACCAACATGTCAGAAAAAAAATTATTGGAAAAAGGATCAGCCCCTTGTGTCAGTATTTTGTTGAACCACCTTTTGCTTTAATTACAGCCTTTAGTCCGTTGGGATATGGCTCTACTAACTTTGCATATCTAGACTTATCTAGACTGCAATATTTGTTCAGTTAAATTTGATGGTGACCGTTGGTCTTCAAGTAATTCCACAGATTTTCAATGGGGTTTAAGTCTGGGCTCTATCCTGACAAGTGCTCCAGTCCCTGCTGCAGAAAAACACCCCCATAACAGAATATTACCACCTCCATGCTTTACTGTACTGTAGGAATGGTGTTATTTGGATGATGAGCTGTATTGGATTTCCGCCAGACATATCGTTTGGTGTTGAGGCCAAATAATTCAATT